CTGTGGCCCATTTAAATGTTTTCTGCATTTAGACAGGGAGAGGCAGTGAGGTTATCAGCTTTTGCTCATTGGCTGATCACCTTGGAATATGAACAGTCAGTGATCTCGAAGGTCCAGGTGTAGCATTTCTATCACTTATCACTTTCGGGGGAGTGATTGATGCATGCTGCATTGATAATGAAGGAGTTAATCAATTGAATCAAAGTCAGAGGAGAAAAATCAGTGCCAATTATAGATGATGGTGCTGGAGTTGGGTCATGCAGAAACTTATTCATTGGATTGACAATAACATGTAAGTCAAAATCATTTATAAAGTCTCCTGCATCATGAGTTTATGATCAACATGAACATGTTATTGGCCTAGAGGTAACAAGCATGATCAGTTGAGGCATAAAGATCATACAACGGTCACCCCATCAAGGTAGGGATCTGGGACATAGCATCTTTGAGGCTGTGCATACTTATGGCAAGGAGAGTGAAAGTTATGACAGAAGTTGAGTGTGCAGTTTCTGTGTAGCACATACCATCACTTACAGCTATGGATGTGTGAAAATGTGGTGAGTTCAGGTATCCAGACCATACAAAGGCCACCCCATCAAGATACGGATCTGAGAGGTCAGTGTTACTGCATGAGGGATGCATTGGCATGCATGGGTCATGGAGGAACTGGTCCATTGAGGCATCCAGATCATACAACGGTATGTCCAGATTGATATTAAGGTTTAAAGGTCAGTAGTATGCTAGCATTAAGCTAGTACTAAGTTAGTATTAAGATCTGAATGCTAACATCATGCTAGTACTAAGCTAGTACTATACATTGAACATTGTGAGCATGGATAATATATGTGCTGCTAGATTGATAAGGACTGCCTGATTATCTCTAGGTCAATAACATGTTTATGTTGATAATAAACTCAGAATGCTGCTGCTGACATTGAAAGGCTCACACATGCCATTAAATTGTTAAATGGTTGTTTCAATGCAGCATGCATCAATCACTCCCTTATGATCATGCTGAGCATGAATCTCATAGGCAGCTCACCAATAAGGATAGAAGATGAGAGAAGGTAAACGTACTATATCTGATACTATATTACTGCTTCTGTGATACTTCACAGAACTTGTGGCTATGCTTAACATTAGTTTCACTGGTGCTGACATTGAAAACCTCACACATGCCATTAAATCATTAAATGGTTCATGAGTAAGTAATCAAGTGAGCTTGAAATGGTATGATGCATAATGCATATACTAATATGCAAAGCAGACTGTGTGCTGCTAGATTCATAAGGACTGCCTGATCTAGTCCTCCATATGGTCAAGCACCATGTGTACTTAAAGTTGTCAAAAATGTGTTGAGCACATATGACTGATGAGTAGAGAATTGAGATAGCCTTTCTTTCACTTGTATGTGTGTGCTGTAAAAGGCAGCCTCATTGTCAATGCCAGCTGCAATGAAGGCATTGCGAAGATGGCACAAGTAATATACTTGCATGTCTGAAAAGGTAATAAAGATGATTGCAGTCATGATAGCATGAGAATGATGATAAAAGGTGTTGAAGCTTTTTAAAAATTTTTTGTTGTCGAAGATAATTATAATCATGGTTATATGAGAGTGATGATACAGACTTGCTGTTGTAAAATAATTTAAATAAACTAATCATAAAAAGTAAAAAAGTCATTAAAAAGATTTAACAGCAGATTTTAACAATTCTTATCATTACTTTATGTGAATTGTTTTACCAATCTTGAAACTTTTTATCTTCACTTTTCAACAGCAAGTTTTTACCATTGCTCTTATACAATCATGAGTACATAACCATTTTTAATAACAGTGATTGTAACAATTTTAACAATCTTTATCATCACTTTATTTGAATTATCATTATAATACTGAAAATGGTTTATGTTTATGTTTTCAACAGTAAATTTTTATCATTAGTATTATACAACTATGACTATATAATTATCTTTATAATCACTTTATTTGAATTAACTTTATATTTGAATTATTTTTCCAATCTTCAAAACCTTTTATCCTAACTTTTTTAATAGCAAATGTTTACCGTCACAGTTGTTCAACCATTATTATAATTACCTTCAACAACAGAAAAGTCTTAAAAGAACTTCAACACTTTGTATCATCACTCACTCATTACCATAATCATCATGTTGAAGACAATGATCTGCTGACAATATCATTTATATCTTCTGAACTTTTAGCCTCTCAATCTGAATAGAGCACAAAATGACTGCAGAGTAGTACAGTTAAGGATATGTAAGCTAAGATGACTGAGAGCTTATGGGTAGACCAGAACAATGATCTCTGTGAGCTACCTGCAATCAATGGCTAAAGGTATCCAGCAGCTGAAAATGTTTCTCAAGCCTGTTCAAAAGCTTGCTGACCCTAAATGTCAATGCTGCCACTGAAAGATGAACGATGACACTTTCTTGGCTGTCATTTTTGCCAGACAGTAGATAAGGACAATGAAGATTTGTTAGCAGCCTCATGTATGAAAAAGGTGAAGTATGAGGCAGCAGCATTATGGCTTGACATTTTGGCCTAGGTCTTATTGTCAATCCAATAGACTAATTCCTCCATGATCCAACTCCAGCACCATCATCTATAATTGGCACTGATTTCTCATCTGACTTTGATTCAATTGATCCCTTCATTGTCGATGCAGCATGCATCGATCACTTCCTTAAAAGTGATGAGTGATAGAAATGCTACACCTGGGCCTTCAAGATCACTGACTATTCATATTGCAAGGTGATCAGCCAATGAGTAAAAGCTGGTAACTCCACTGCCTTCCCCTGTCTACATGCAGAAAACATTTAAATGGGCCACAGTTTGGCCTCTCACTGAGGAGGAAAGAGAAGCATCATTCTCAATGGAGATATACTTATTGAACTTCTATAATGACTTTCACTCTCCTCACTATAAGTATTCCCATCCTCATGGTTGCTTGCATGCCAATGCATTTCTCGTGCAGTGACATTGATCTGCTACAGGCTCAAAAGATGCTATGTCCCAGGTCCCTATCTTGATGGGGTGGCCGTTGTATGGTCTGAATGCCTCAATGGACTAGTTCCTCCATAACCCATGCATGCCAATGCATCCCTTATGCAGTGACACAGACTTCTCAGATTCTTATCACAAACTCAGGATGCAGGAGGTTCTATAGATGATTTTGGTCTAGGTCATATTGTCAAACCAATGGATCAGTGCCTCGATGACCCATTCATGCCAATGCATCTCTCATGCAGTGACACTGGCAAGCCACACAGTTAGATTCAGGGTCAACGAGGAAGCACCTGATCAGCCAGTCACTGGTTTATCCAGATCTCAAACTGTTGCTACATTGGAGGGGTCACCTCCAAAGAAGAGACAGGTCCTCAAGTTTGATGGTGTGGTTATTGCCAGGACAGAACTCACCATTGACCTGTCACAGCCTCAAAGATGCTATGTCCCAGGTCCCTATTTTGATCGGGTGGCTGTTGTATGGTCTGTATAGATACAAGGTGAGAGAAGATAACCATAACATATGTGACACTATGTTACTGCTTCTGTGATACTTTGTCCAACTTTTGGCTATGCTTAACACTAGTTTCACTGCTGCTGACATTGAAAACCTCACACATGCCATTGAATCATTAAATGGTTGTTCATGAGTTAGTAATCTAAAAATGGTTAAAGTTGTAAAAACAATTGTTGTTAAAGATTATTGTATAATAATGATTGTATTCAAGTGATGGTACAAAGTTGCTGTTAAGAAGAAGAAGGTAAAAAATGTTGAAGATTATAAAAATAACTCAAATAGAGCAATGATAAAAATTGTTATTATAAAGACAATTCAAATAAAGTGACAATCAAAATTGTTTTAGTTTTTTAAAATTTTCTGTGATCAAAGGTAATTATACTCATGATTGTATAAGAGTGAGAGTAAACACTTGCTATTGAAAAGTGAATGTATATAATTTTGATAATTGTAAAAATAATTCAAATAAAGTGATGATCAAAATTGTTTTAAAGTTATATAAAAAAACTGTTGTTAAAGATGATGATGTAATGATGGTTGTATAAAAGTGATGGTAAAAACTTGCTATTGAAAAAGTAAACATAAAAAGCTTTAACATTGTAAAAATAATTTGAATAAAGTGATGATTAGAATTGATATTGTAAGAATTATTTAAACAGAGTGATGATACAAATGGTTAAAGTTGTTAGAAAAACTGTTGTCGAAGATGATTATAGTAAAGGTTGCATGAGAGTGATGATAAAAGTATTGAAGTTTTTGTCATGGTCATATGAGAGTGATGGTGTAACTTGCTGTTGAAAAAGTGAAACATTGTGATTATTCATTCAATGATAATATAAGATGGATGCATGATTGTAGAAAATTTTAAATGCAGTGATAATAAAAGTTTCATATTGTCAATGATGATTATAGTCATGGTTGTGTGAGAGTGATGGTAAATAATTGCTTTTGAAAAAGTTAAGATAAAAAGTTTTAAAAGGTGCAAGTATTTTTTAAAGATAATACAATCATAGATGCATAATTATATAGCTTCTCAAATGAAGTGAAAATAAAATGGTTCAAGCTTTTCTTTTAGCTTTTGTTGAACTGTAATCATACTTGCATGTTTCTTTATCGAAGATGATTACAATCATAGTTACATGACAGTAACGATAAAAGTTGTAAGGTGTTTTGAAAATTATATGTTGTCAAAGGTGATTGTAACAGTCACATTAGTGATCATAAAAAATTATAAGGGCTTTTTTAATAATGTTTGTCAAAGATACTTACAACTACAGTTTGAGCAGTATACACATTGCTGGGGTGATTGACTCATGGTGCATAGATGTGTGCAAGAAAGTGATATGAGGTCAAATAGGTATTCAGATCAGGCAATAAAGATGAACAAATGAAAATTATATTACTAGTTGAGAAGGTCTTAGTAGTAAACTTCAGACCAGCACAATGAAGGTGAGACATTCAGAAAAGTTTAGTGTAGATTGCCACAGAGCTAACTCTGCCACGTGCTTTGCTGAGGAGAGTACGATGTGTCATCTTGAGAGGATCTTCTAATGTTGAAGTATTATCGGTGACAATTCCATCATTGTACCATGTCTGACCATTCATATCAATAATCCTTGCAGTGAAATGAAAGCCACCAAAACAAATAATACCACACAAGCGAAATCTTGTGCCTTCTTCACCGATGTACACTGTGGGATCTAGCTGAAGTTGCTTACCATTCATTATGAATGCCATGAAGTTTGGGGTATTGACAAAGACATACTTTCTCATCAGTCTTGTGTGGCAGGTTTGGCATGACAACTGAGTCTTTCTGAGAAAAAGAGCTTGCAGCCACTCTGATAGCTTTCTTTTTTTGAGGAACCTAACTTAGCAGAGGATTCTCTCCAGATGGGCAAACTGCAGTCCCATAGATAAATGAAAGTGTCTTCTGTATTCACATCGACATTGCAGTGGAGGCAGTGAAGATGGACGGTAACATTAGAGGATGAAGACTCGAACATAGCAGAACACAAACTGTAGATGTCCATGCCTTCTTTTTCTGTGGTGAGAAATGTTGCGGGGTGTGCGATCTGAAATTTTGCACGGATAGCATCTCTTGCATGTTTCATAGAATGTTTACTAGTGAGTACCTTTGTAAAGACATTAGTGAACTTGTGAAGAAAGTCATTCTGGTTTTTGACAGTATCATTCCATTGCTGTGGACAATCTGTGAACACCTTGAGCAGTATGGAGAAAAGGCTATCATATGCGCAACTGTAGTTGTTCTCATCTCATATAAAACTGACAGGGCTTGAGTATAATGAAAGGGGTGAAGCGGTTCTCATCTTTTTGTCATCGAGGCCTGTTTCATTGCTGACATGCATGTGCTTTTTCTTTTTTCTACCCTGGTTATTGCTAACAGTGAGCAAAGCTTTTGTTCCCTTAGCAGGCAGATACCTATACACGGGTTTAATTTCTTTCAGTTTATCCTGCACTAGTGAGGTTTTTTTTGCATCATCACTATGTCTAGTTGGTTTACTGACAATTTGCCAGGGACTGTCACACTCTGGGTCATTCAGTGGGTATGGGTCTTCGTTAGACCACTTAAGAGACTGGTGCATTATTTTGGGGATGTACTGGTAGCAGTTCTTCTTGGTGATAGAGTTGAGGCCACAGTAGTCAATGCAGAGGTGCAGCTCACTGGTCTTCTTGCAAATGAATAGGACAGGGGAGCCAGTGAAGGATGTTGAATGCTGAATGAACCCCTTGTGGAGGTTTGACTCGATGTAGTCAAACAGAACAACATGCTTGTCTTGCGAGAGGTGGTAGATGGGCTCAAAGGGTGGCATCGTGTCATCCTCAAGGTCGATCGATGTATCGCATGGTCGATGGAGCAGAAGCTGTTCAATGTTGACAGGAGAGAAGACAGTGGCATAGTCATGATATTTCTTGAAGATGGATGCGAGGAAGTCATCGAGGTCAGGAGGCTTAGGAGATGCAGAGGCTGCACAGAGATTCATGGATGTGATGGCATAACCATGAGAGCCAGTGGAATGATACCAAAGCATGGTGGCTTCATTGTTTTGAGCAATCTTGCAGAATTGCATCGAATTAATGAATGCGATGTTGAGTGAGGGATGTTCTGAGATTGTGGGAGTGGGCAAAGGTAATCCAGTTTGAGTAAAGCTAATGTCAGATGAGAGACAAGGCAAGAGAGGTGAGGTTATTGAAGCTGAGAGATATGATTCATCACATGAAGCCAGCATAGATGGTGCTGGGATGGGACACAAAGATGAGCTTGATGATAAGGAAGTGAGGGACATGTGGTGAAGATCAGAGCCTATGTCGACATGTGTGACAGGACAAGAGTGTGAGAACGAGACGAGAGAGGCAACATGGGCAAGACTGAGCCTTTTTTGCGTGTGAAGACATATTGTGAGGAGGTCATGCTGCAGCATGACAAAGCAAGGTGTTTGCACATTCAATCGATGGATGGGTTGTGATGCTGAAGCCAGTTGAGACCTAGAATAACAGGGTAGGGCACCGACACAATTTCTAAAAAAATGTGCTCGAAATGATTTTGCACAGACAGATACATCAGTACATCATGGATGATCAAGCCAGATGCAATAGGACATTCATCAATCATGATGATAGGTACAGGTACATTCTTGAGATACCATAGAAGAGAATGACAGTTAGCAAAATTATAAGAAATGCATGAACCCGTCACGCCACTGTCGATGAGCACGTACATGTGAACGGGTTTTTTATTAGGAAACTGAAGAGAAACAGAAATAAAAAAGTGGTCAGAAGAATTGAGGAAGGCATGAACATGGGTAGAAAGAGAAAAAATGAGAGGCAAACCAGCAGGCTTTGGGATTCACATGCCAGTTGTTGAACGAACATGTGATGGAGCCTCCAAGAAGGGTGTCTGAGTCGCTGTTGTATCTGGAGGCCCTGGGACTTGCGATGAACCTCTGGTTAGGCCTTTTCCAATGAGAAAGAAGCCTTGCAGTTCTTTTTGGTGCTATCTGACATGTTTGGGCACTCGCTAATGTGGTGCTTGCCCTGGCCACAGTAGAAACAGAGTCTGAGTTTGCAGTGACATTTCTTCTCAGTGTTGGTGAGTGGCCATGGCAGATGACATCTACCTCCATAGAGACAATGTCATTGTTCACAGATGACTGCACAGGAGCAGTCGATGAGAGCACAGGAGAAGGAGTGGCTCGAGGGGCCTCATGGTGATGTGGAATATGACAAGAGCTAGAGGAAGACTGAGCTAGCTTATGCTTAAGCTCGTGAGCATGCACTTTGTTATCAATCTTTGTGGTGAGTGCAATGTATGTGTCAAAAGTCTTCAGAAGCTCCAGGACTGTGGCAAGCATGTCCTTGATATGGTCTTTGAGACCCTCATAGAAGTAGGCAATCTGTGTGGCATTGTTGAGATCAATGTGCACCAGATACTCACAAAAATGAGCAGCATAATTGGTGACTGAGCCTATTTGCATGTGTGCCATGAGTTTGTGTAGATACTTGGCAAAAAGATCAGGGTCTTCAAAGTGGTTCTTGAACACATGGATGAAACCCTGAAAGTTATGCAGGACCTTCAGATTTGAAATTTTGATGAAATTGAACCAGGATGTTGGGTTGCCATCCTTGAGGGATGTACTAGCAAACATCACCTGGTCATAGTCATTCAGCAGCTAAGCGCACAAGAGATGGATGGTGGTCCATATCTCCTTGACCCACAGAATGACATTGTCCACTTTTCTATTAAACATGCAGGGATCATGGTAGTGTGTGGAGCCTGTGGGATAAGAAGATGTCAAGCATGAGGTCTCGAGATTGCTGAGCCAGTTGATGACTTGTGAGATTGCATCATGCAGCTGAGACTGGCCACAATAGAACATCTCTAAATGGTGACTGAGTGTGACATCATAGGTCTGTGATTGAGTCAGCTGAGTGGGCTAAGCAGTAGAGTTTCGAGACTGATCATCTTGAATACCAGTCATGAGATCCTGTAAATCGTCCATATAGATCAGTAGTATGTGCACTTTTACACCACGTAGGATAGAACAAAGGAAAAGTACGATGGAATAGGTGAGCCAGCAGGAAGGCGGGCTCATCGGAGCTTGTAGTGTAGTTTTTGAGTGGTCAAGTCAAACTGTAATGGGCAGGTCAGACGAGGGATGAGAGATGAGAGCAAGAGAACATGAGATAGGGATTCTAGAGTGAGTAGCTAGACAATGAGAGCTATGGGGCCCATGTACTGGAGTTGGCTCGATGAAGAGAAGTGAGCAAGGATGGTGAAGACAATTTTTATGTGTACAGAATTAACAAGTGCATATGTAATCATACCTAAATAGTCTATGAGCTAGCTAAACAAATCAATGATCATGGCACATTGTAACGCGCTGTTATACTTGACAACAGTGAGTGTATCTCTTTAGAACTTAGTCAATTTCAGATGCATTTTAACTGTTTGCACCTAAATTACACAATAATGTATTATTAGATGGCCATGGATCAACTCAAGTCATAAAAGTTGGATCTCATTTCCAATTATCAAGACAATGCCTATGCAGGAATGATGTTCAACTTTGATCGTCAGGTCATCACTGTACTGAAATACATAACAAAATAATGAACACTGTGGTTTAAACCACTTTGAAGCCATTGAATGCCTTGGTTTGAATCACTTTCAAGCCATTGCATACAAAGGTTTGAATGGCTGTGAAGCCATCTGCCCTTAAGGCATTAACCCTGGCAAATTCAGTGCTGTGATTGGCTCTGAATATTTGCACATATTTGGATTAGCTGTGTCATGCATGTTCAAAGTCCGATTCATATGCCTATTACAAAAGATAGCAAATCTGAATAAGAACAAAACATAACACAGTAATGAAGTTTTGAAGGAAAGGCCTCTCCTAACCTCAGGACAGGGGTGAAAAATAAAACCACTTTGTAATGGTCCACTCTTCCACGCATTGCTTAACTGTTTCATGGGTATCAAAAAATGTCACATAGATGCCCTAAGTGCCCAGTGTTGCACAAACTCTCCTTTGTATCTTAGAAATCGTAAATGTCTTACCACTTAGCTAACTCTGTGATGAACCTCTTTATCCTGTGAGTGTCACATAACCTGAACCAGCACTCATGGGGGTCCTTTTTTTTTTTTTCAAAAGTTTCAGCTGATTCTCCCTCATGCACTGGGTGAAACAATCAATAATTTATAATAATAGATAATAAAGATATTAAAGAAGATTTTCAGCATCTTTGCTGTCGATTCGTGAGAAAAGGATTCAAAATATTATCAACATCGTTTCTTGTTAAAGATGATTAAAAGGTTGAAAAAAGATTGAATGAGATATTAGCAATCATTTTTTTCAATTAGTTTATAATCTTTTAGACAAAGTTATAATAAAAAGTTTCAAAATCTTTTTTCATTCTTTTCTTATCAACAATCATGAATATATTGTGACCATGTCACATTATTATCATTCTATACTAAGCTAATATTAGAATATAAAGATTAATACTTAATATTAGGTTCAAATGTTAGTACTATCTCTTAGAGCCTTAGTACTAGCATAGTATTGATCTCTACATCTTAGCACTAGCTTAGTACTAGCATTTAGACCTTAGTATTAGCATAGTACTATCTTCAAACCTTAATACTAGCATAGTACTAGCATTTAAATCTTAGTATTAGCATACTGCTAACATTGAAATCTTAGTATTACTCTTCTGACCATAGTACTAGTATAGTGCTAACATATAAACCTGAGTATTAACTTCCACATCTTAGTACTAGCTTGATATATAAAAATAAGAGTGTGATATAGTCACAATATTATCATCATTATTGATCAAAAAAGAGCAAAAAAATATGTTGAAACCTTTTATCATAATTTTATGTGAAAGATTGTGAAATTATTGAAGAAATGATTACTGATATTACACCCAATCTTCTTTCAATCTTTTCATCATCTTTTTTGAAAGAAGATTGCATGAAATATTAATAATCATTTCTTTAATCATTTCACAAGCTTTCATATAAAACTATGACGAAAAGTTTTAAAATCCTTTTTTACTCTTTTTTGATCAAAGATGATAAAAATATTGTGACTATATCACACCCTTGTTTTCATATACTAAGCTAGTACTAAGATGTGGAGGTCAATACTCAGATTTATATGTTAACACTATACTGTTGCTATAGTGTGAAGAATAAGACTAAGATTCTAATGTTGGCAGTATGCTAATACTAAAATTTAAGTACTAGTACTATACTAGTACTAATGTCTGAAGGCTAGTACTACGCTAGTACTATGCTAGTACTAAGACCTGAAGGCTAGTATTATGCTAATATTAAGGTCTGGAGGTCAGTGCTAAGGTCTGAATGCTAGTACTAGCATAGTACTAACCTTCAGACCTTAGTGCTAGCATAGTACTAACCTTCAAACCTTAGTAGTAATGTGCAAACCTTCATCAGATGGAGAAGGTCTTCATCATGTTACTGGCAAGTACACCCAATATTGGTTTGAAGATTATTGTAGCTGTGCATGGTCTGCTCAACATTTATCTGGCCCATTATTTGGCACACTCAACATCCACACTGATTCAGATGCACTATGCTTTAGAGGCTTTTCATCAATTCATGCAGATCTTTATCAAACTCAGCATCCAAAAGCATTTTAACATATCAAAACTGCACTGACTCAAGCACTATATTGTCACTATTATTAAGCTCAGTTGTTGTAACAGCTTAAGCACTGAGATATCAGAATGTTTGCATATTGACTATGCAAAGCTTGACTATTATGCAAGCAACAGTAAATACTGGGTGAAACAATCAATAATTTGAGTTGAAAGATGGTAAATATATTTAAAAAAAATTCAAATCTTTTCAGCATCTTTACTGTCAATTTGTGATAAAAGGATTTAAATTATTATTAGTATCATTTCTTGTTAAAGATGATGGAATGATTGAAAAAAGATTGGATGACATATTAGCAATCATTTTTCAATCAGTTTATAATCTTTCAGACAAAGTGATGATAAAATGTTTTAAAATGTTTTTTGATTAATTTCTTATCAAAGATGATGAACATATTGTAATCATGTCACATCATCATCATTGTATGCTAAGCCAATATTAGAATATAAAGCTTAATAATTAGGTTCAAATGTGAGTACTATCTTTTGAAGCCTAAATATTACCATGGTATTGATTTCTACATCTTAGCACTAGAATAGTACTAGGCATTTAAACCTTAATACTAGCATAGTACTACTCTCTAAAGTCTTAGCACTAATATTTGGATCTTAATACTAACATTTGGCATAGTACTAGCATTTAGACCTTAGTACTAGCATACTGCTAATATTAGAATCTTAGTACTACTATTCTAATCATAGTATTAGTATAGTGCTATTTCATATATGAGGAACTAGCTTAGTATATAAAAACAACGGTGTGACATAGTTATAATATTTTCATCATCTGTGATTAAAAAGAGCAAAAAATATTTTAAAACTTTTCATTATAGTTTTGTATGAAAGATTGTAAAATAATTGTTTGAAGAAATGATTATTAATATTTCATTCAATCTCCTTTCAATCTTTTCATTATCTTTGAACTTTTTCTTCAATAATTTTATCATTTTTCACCTCAAATTATTGATTGCCTCACCCAGTGAGTACAATGACAGAATTGCTACAGGTAATACTTCAACATTAGAATATCCTGTGAAGATGGCACACCCTACTCTCCTCAACAAAGCACATGGTAGATTTAGCTCTGTAGCAATCTACACCAAACTTTGCTGAATCCCACCTTCAATAAAGAAAACATAGTCTGCTACACATCATTATCTTCCAACTTTGTCATAATATAACATCACTCTAAATATAGCTGCATCTCAAACAATCACACCATCCTTGATCTCTGCTAAAGGGACTGACATTTTAATGTGGATAACACTATATATCCCTCAATCAATGTGGTGAATATCATGATAAACTTATAAAATCAGTTATAAAGAATATCAGGATCTCAGGAATCATTTTTGCGAGAAATGGCCTTCTTACCCAAGTGCAGGCTGGGCAAAAATTTCTATAAATGACTAATTCAAGACTACAAGTACATGACACATGGTTGAAAACAAGTACAGTGCACTATGAGCATGAAACCTCAGGCATTCACGCATTCTCAGTAGGTTCATCCTTAGCCTCTGGCACCTCGTACTCCTCATCCTCTGGCTCCAAAAAAGTTATTGATGATGCATTAGGAGGAGACATAGGCATGCTGAGGGATGTTAATTGTAATGGGTAGAACAACAGCTCTTGAAAAGGACCCACCATGGGCTTGACTGAAATATGGACATGGGGCCAATGGGCAGTGCCCTGCATATGTGCATTTGTGTTACAGCACTGCTGGACAAGAGATCAAAAAGATTAAAAAAAGGAACGATCATGTAGAACGTGCCACCCTGATCTCCCTGATCTCTAGAGTGGCTTGAGAGCCTAACACTTACTTGTTTGGTGAAGCAAGCATATCGAAGGGTAAAAGATACATGGTGGAGCTGGTAGGCTCAGTGGGTGCTACAATGGTAGACAAGGAGAAACAATCTAAAGTGTCGTCCTCTACATGCTGATCTTATATACGTGCACAGGAGCCTAATTACATAACCTTCATTGTACCACTACTGTAAAATAGATGATTGGCTATCTACGTATCTAGGCGACTAGACCATACACGGAACAATAAGTGGGAGAATCTATCTATAAGTGGAACAATAGGTGAGAAGATCTGTCTTCATTGGTATCAACTGTGAGACGATTCATCCTATCGTGGTAACAGCTATACCTTGAGCTGATTGCCTAGATGATCTCGAACAATAGTCCTTGTTCTCTTTGTTCCCAAATGGGTGCCTCTATTGTATCCTGGAATAGACAGGTCTGACCGTATCATCCACGGATCTGGACCATAACTTGTGATGTGAACTATTACCTAATCTCTACGTGTCGCATCTGTGGCTGAGTGGCATGAGATATTGGTGAAGCACGTGATTTGTGATGTGAGAAAAGTCACATGTGGACTTTGTGGCAGAAATCTGTGACAATTTGAGAGCTTGCATGGGCGTGATGGGGCAGCATGCTTATGAGGGTGGTCAGTCCTGAGAGTCATAGTCATCGGTGTTATGGGGGCACTTTTGAGATGAATGGGGGGCATGAATGATCTTATCGGTGCAGTAGTGCTTGGAATCAGTTGCATAAGGAAGACAGCCACAAACAAATTTAAGAGAGACAGCCAGCAGCCATTCCATGAGAATGGGGGTGCCCAGCATGGTACCCTCTAGGCTAGTGAACCAGAGCTTATCTGTGAATGAATGGGAGTCCAGGTAGCTTACTACTAACATGACACTCATGATGGAGGTCATACATCACTATGTCCTTGAGGAGGCAGGCCATGTGCTCCTCTGAGCACCTTTTGCAGGCATGGCTGCACCCATCCCATCAACAAGCAACCTTTTTAATGTCACAAATGAGACATTCATGGACCACCTCCCATATCTCAGTAAGTCAGAATGAGGGAATCACAGACATGGCTTCATAGCCAACATGATCATGAGATCTATCATGGTTCTCTCAGAGCCTGAAGTGTGAGTGCACAGATGGGGCAGTTGGTGATTTAATAGTGATGCAAGATCAAGGGTCGACAGCTGGAGGCAGCAGTGAAGGATGCTGAGGTAGGCTGACTTGAAAATCAGACATCTGCAGGCAGGAAGAGGGCTCCATGAGGGAAGGTGCTTGAGGAGGATATGACATGCCTTTCCTCTCCTCAATGATCTGGCAGTGATGAGTCTCCTGAGGCTTGCAAGAAGGGCAGACTGGAGGAGGGGATGGTGACAGAAGTGATGATGGGGGTCGAGATGATCAATGGAAGTGGACTCACCTGAGGTTGACAGATCAATGGGTGCCTGCTGTGTCTGCAGCATCTGTGAGGATGGTGATGCATGCTGGCATGGAGAGGGTGCAGGTGGTGGGGTTTGATGAGATAAAGATGCAGGTGGTGGTGCACCTCCAGTGGAATCAGATTCTGCTGTCAGGTTCTAATATTGGTGTCAGCAAATGGGGTGGACAAAGGCTGGCAGGCTCCTCAAACTCCACAGAAAACCCAAAAGTGCAGTTCACCACTCAGTGCTTGGAGGATGTTCAGGGGATGGGGTCACCTACAAGGCATGCACAGACTGTGGCACATAGGGCTTTGAAAAATTATAAGAATGGGTGAAGTTGAGCTCAGGAAGAGGGGTCACTTGTGAGTTGTGCAGAGACTGCAGCACATAGGGCTCTGAGGGGTCATGAGGATGGGCAAAGTTGAGCTCAGAAGAAGGGGTCACTTGCAAGGTGTGTGGAGACTGCGGCATGTAGAGCTCTGAGGGGTCATGAGCATAGGTGAAATAGGGAAGTGCAAAATCAGATGGACTCAAAATCAGCTCAGTAGAATGGGTACGCAGGCCCAGCATGCCCATTAGCTCAGGCAGGAAGCTGGCAACCGACGCTGGGTGGCAACTATGTAAAGGGCTCTCATGAAGAAATGACTGGGCACATCAATTGTGATATGTGAAGATGAAACTACAATGAACTTACCAGTTCCAGGAGCAACATGGAGCATGATGTGAGAAGACAGTAAGGTGGAGTAGTTCCTGGTATAGTGTTGCCATATTGGAAGTTTCATGTCATCCGTCACAGCTCACATCCGTTTACGCAATATGAGCCAGAGAGCATTACTCATCTCATAGAGAGTATGAATGTATGCCTGACCCTCCTGTGGGCTCTGTGGGATCAATTGATTGACTCACTCTAATGTCTGGGTCAGGTAGTTAGGGTGCTCAACCAGCCCTTGAAGTCTGCAAGTTATAAAGTTTATAAGGGTAGCAGCTTCAGACCATTCCTTGAGGAGCTGAACCTGCAGTGCTTGCGTGACACTCTCCAGCAACTAAGTGTGACTCTGAGCACTGAATAGTGCAGAAGACTCATCACACAGATGACATATCAGCAATAAAGTGACCTCCACAGTAACATTCCACCACATATCATGCACGTCGGGGTCAAGGAGGATCTGCCAGATAGAAAATGACCATATAGAAGGTGAATGTCCTTGAAAAGGCTCTGAAGTATTTTTTTGAGGTACCTCCATGCAGAGAGATTGATAGTGGGCTGAGACATGGTGAACATGATCTGGATACAGAAGGGAGAGGGGATGGCAACCATATATCCCTGCATGATGTGACCCTGAGCTCATCTTGAATGTGAATTCTGCTTCATGGATCATGAGCTTTCAATTCATGATTACACATATTAATCACAAGTTGTGTGTCATGGCTTGTGGCTGGTCAATATCTGAGTCTGGAGGGGATATGAGCAAGGTATTTGAGCTGTCCTCACTATAGAATGTGTGGCAAATGCTAAGCTCAGGATTGAAAGCCTGGTAAATTCCAGGCAGGGACCTGGGGCATACTAAATGCAAAAGAGGCATGGACATAGCATGTGTCAGACTTAGGCATGGGGACCCATCTCCACTCAGATCTTTTCATGGTGCAGCCAGTGCATGCACAGTAGCACCTATAATGCCTGAAACTGAAACTAGATGGAATCTCAAAGTGAGATTGGGGAGGAGCCTGGAATATGATGTAATCACTTTGGGGGATGACAAAATATGCATATGCACTATAACTCATTTTGTTCAATCTCTGATCAGTTGTTTTTGATGAAGATTGTGGAGTTTAAACTATGTAATTACATCATGATTGAGCACATGGTGAGTGATCAAAATGTGGCAAAAACTCTCACCCTTAGTATGAACCCCCCCCAAACCCCAGAGAAAGGCTGTGAAGAAGCCTGGAATGTGGCACAAAGTTCCTTTAGAATGAGCCCCTAACTCATGAAGAAGGGGGTTGAAAAAAAGCCTCACTCAAGGGCTCCTTCTCCTGTACCCTGTTTTCATACCTAAGTCTGACACATGCTATGTCCATGCCTCTTTTGCATTTAGTATGCCCCAGGTCCCTGCCTGGAATTTACCAGGCTTTCAATCCTGAGCTTAGCATTTGCCACACATTCTATAGTGAGGACAGCTCAAATACCTTGCTCATATCCCCTCCAGACTCAGATATTGACCAGCCACAAGCCATGACACACAACTTGTGATTAATATGTGTAATCATGAATTGAAAGCTCATGATCCATGAAGCAGAATTCACATTCAAGATGAGCTCAGGGTCACATCATGCAGGGATATATGGTTGCCATCCCCTCTCCCTTCTGTATCCAGATCATGTTCACCATGTCTCAGCCCACTATCAATCTCTCTGCATGGAGGTACCTCAAAAAAATACTTCAGAGCCTTTTCAAGGACATTCACCTTCTATATGGTCATTTTCTATCTGGCAGATCCTCCTTGACCCCGACGTGCATGATATGTGGTGGAATGTTACTGTGGAGGTCACTTTATTGCTGATATGTCATCTGTGTGATGAGTCTTCTGCACTATTCAGTGCTCAGAGTCACACTTAGTTGCTGGAGAGTGTCACGCAAGCACTGCAGGTTCAGCTCCTCAAGGAATGGTCTGAAGCTGCTACCCTTATAAACTTTATAACTTGCAGACTTCAAGGGCTGGTTGAGCACCCTAACTACCTGACCCAGACATTAGAGTGAGTCAATCAATTGATCCCACAGAGCCCACAGGAGGGTCAGGCATACATTCATACTCTCTATGAGATGAGTAATGCTCTCTGGCTCATATTGCGTAAACGGATGTGAGCTGTGACGGATGACATGAAACTTCCAATATGGCAACACTATACCAGGAACTACTCCACCTTACTGTCTTCTCACATCATGCTCCATGTTGCTCCTGGAACTGGTAAGTTCATTGTAGTTTCATCTTCACATATCACAATTGATGTGCCCAGTCATTTCTTCATGAGAGCCCTTTACATAGTTGCCACCCAGCGTCGGTTGCCAGCTTCCTGCCTGAGCTAATGGGCATGCTGGGCCTGCGTACCCATTCTACTGAGCTGATTTTGAGTCCATCTGATTTTGCACTTCCCTATTTCACCTATGCTCATGACCCCTCAGAGCTCTACATGCCGCAGTCTCCACACACCTTGCAAGTGACCCCTTCTTCTGAGCTCAACTTTGCCCATCCTCATGACCCCTCAGAGCCCTATGTGCTGCAGTCTCTGCACAACTCACAAGTGACCCCTCTTCCTGAGCTCAACTTCACCCATTCTTATAATTTTTCAAAGCCCTATGTGCCACAGTCTGTGCATGCCTTGTAGGTGACCCCATCCCCTGAACATCCTCCAAGCACTGAGTGGTGAACTGCACTTTTGGGTTTTCTGTGGAGTTTGAGGAGCCTGCCAGCCTTTGTCCACCCCATTTGCTGACACCAATATTAGAACCTGACAGCAGAATCTGATTCCACTGGAGGTGCACCACCACCTGCATCTTTATCTCATCAAACCCCACCACCTGCACCCTCTCCATGCCAGCATGCATCACCATCCTCACAGATGCTGCAGACACAGCAGGCACCCATTGATCTGTCAACCTCAGGTGAGTCCACTTCCATTGATCATCTCGACCCCCATCATCACTTCTGTCACCATCCCCTCCTCCAGTCTGCCCTTCTTGCAAGCCTCAGGAGACTCATCACTGCCAGATCATTGAGGAGAGGAAAGGCATGTCATATCCTCCTCAAGCACCTTCCCTCATGGAGCCCTCTTCCTGCCTGCAGATGTCTGATTTTCAAGTCAGCCTACCTCAGCATCCTTCACTGCTGCCTCCAGCTGTCGACCCTTGATCTTGCATCACTATTAAATCACCAACTGCCCCATCTGTGCACTCACACTTCAGGCTCTGAGAGAACCATGATAGATCTCATGATCATGTTGGCTATGAAGCCATGTCTGTGATTCCCTCATTCTGACTTACTGAGATATGGGAGGTGGTCCATGAATGTCTCATCTGTGACATTAAAAAGGTTGCTTGTTGATGGGATGGGTGCAGCCATGCCTGCAAAAGGTGCTCAGAGGAGCACATGGCCTGCCTCCTCAAGGACATAGTGATGTATGACCTCCATCATGAGTGTCATGTTAGTAGTAAGCTACCTGGACTCCCATTCATTCACAGATAAGCTCTGGTTCACTAGCCTAGAGGGTACCATGCTGGGCACCCCCATTCTCATGGAATGGCTGCTGGCTGTCTCTCTTAAATTTGTTTGTGGCTGTCTTCCTTATGCAACTGATTCCAAGCACTACTGCACCGATAAGGTCATTCATGCCCCTGTCACAGTATTAAGTGGCACCTTTCTTTTTGCACCAATAAAGTCATTATTCGGCAACCACAAGTGGTTATTTGGACGCCAACCTTTATATTGGTCTCACAAAGTGGATACTTGGACAAACAGCACAATATCACCACATACATTGTGGATATGACTGTGTCTACCACATGACCACCAAGCGCCCATGATTCAGCCACCCAGTCACGTGACACTGACCACTTGCCCTATTCAGAAGTTATCAGGTGTTGGTCACATGACACCAGGCCACTTGCCCAGCACGGAACTCTTTGGCCCACAATAGGCTTACCCATGCTCATTGGACCATCAATCTAGCGAGCACCCAATTCACTGCTCAATAGCAGCACCAACTACATGGCTGCCAAATAGTAGCACCAGCATTAGAATATGTGCTATGGCAAAATTCCCACTGGCCACTCAATAAGTGGCACCACTTCAGCTACTCAAATAGTGGCACCACCTTCAGGCAATTATCTCATTGGGTAAAGTAGGATTACCTTGGCGTATCCACGGCCTTTATAGATAGTTGCTATAGCAAAGTCCAGAACCATTACTGGTTTTGGCAATATGTTCACATGTAGACAGGACAGGACCCCAGTAAGTACACCATAGTTAGGGTACCCAGGGTCCACCACTACATGTATATAAGCACATGAGGATCTAAGAGAAGACCTTAGATTCATTCACCTATTTCATGTGGCCTAACAGCCAATTCACCCCCTTGTTATGAGCATAAGGCTAAGGGCCCTTTGAGCCCCTTTTTAGGCTGCATGTCACTGCATGCCTGGTTTGGCCCTACCTGGGCAAACCCCTTTTTTGTGCAGGTCACTGGATGCTGGCAAGCACCTTGCTGCCATTTCCTTGCCTTAGGGCACAGGATCTAATGCACCGTGACAGCCCCCCATTCATCTCAAAAGTGCCCCCATAACACCGATGACTATGACTCTCAGACTGACCACCCTCATAAGCATGCTGCCCCATCACGCCCATGCAAGCTCTCAAATGCACATATGCAGGGCACTGCCCATTGGCCCCATGTCCATATTCCAGTAAAGCCCATGATGGGCTCTTTTCAAGAGCTGTTGTTCTACCCATCACAATTAACATCCCTCAGCATGCCTATGTCTCCTCCTAATGCATCATCAATAACTTTTTTGGAGCCAGAGGATGAGGAGTACGAGGTGCCAGAGGCTAAGGATGAACCTACTGAGAATGCGTGAATGCCTGAGGTTTCATGCTCATAGTGCACTGTACTTGTTTTCAACCATGTGTCATGTACTTGTAGTCTTGAATTAGTCATTTATAGAAATTCTTGCCCAGCCTGCACTTGGGTAAGAAGGCCATTTCTGGCAGAAATGATTCCTGAGATCCTGATATTCTTTATACAGTGACCCACAAAACTGTTGATAAGATTGCTCACTTCAACTTGTATAGTAAATATCTCCTCAACCAATGGGTCAACTACATCGTATAAGCACTAATTGGAAAGCGTATTATCATGGCTTTCTAATGCAGTCTTAATCATATTTTTACCATATTTTGATCCTAAGATATTTACTAATCTTTGAGGGTCACTCTTATCAACAGTTTTGTGGCACATATCCAGGTTCTACAAAACTTGTACTTTCAGTACTTGGTATAGCCTCCCTTTGCCTTCACCACTGCATGCACCCTCCTTGGCATACTTTCAATCATATTCTGACACACTTCCTTCCCAATAGCCTCCCATTCCTTCTCCACCCTTTCCCACAACTCAGTAATTCCCTTTGGTGGCTCCTGATACTCTGCAAGCTTCTTTTTGAGGTGATCCCACAAATTCTCTATGGAATTGAGATCTGGGGATTGAGAGGGCCATATCATAGTGTTGAAATCATGGTCTTTGAACCAATCCTTGGCCTTCTTGCTGGTGTGCTTGGGGTCATTGTCTTGCTGAAACACCACATCCTCCACAGTTTTACCTCAATCCTCCAGGCTATTCTGCAGCTCATCCTCCAGAATGCTGACATAAAGGTCTGCATCCATCCTGCCATCAATCTTGCAGGCATACCCCACACCATCCCAGCTCATACAGCCCCACATCATCAAGGATCCACCTCCAAACTTCTGGGTCCCTTCCACCAACCTATCACTGAGGCTCTCCCCTTGCTTCTTCCACACCCATTTCCTTCCATCTGATCCCATCCTGTTAATCTTTGTCTCATCTGACCATACCACCCTTCTCCAGTCATCCACAGTCCAATATTGGTGAGCCAAAGCGAAGTCCATCCTCTCCTTTTGATGCCTTGCAGCAAGTAAAGGCCTTCTGCGCTTTACTACAGCCTTCATTTTTGCCTTCTTCAACCCTCTTCGCACTGTCTCTGCATTGACAACCCTCCCAGTAACATCTCCAAGAGCTCTGGCCACAGCAGGAGATGTGGTAGCCTTGCCAGTCCCAATGAGTCGAGTAGCATAGCGAAGATTGGCAGTAGAAAGAAGGGAAGGTCATCCTCCTTTGGCCTTAGGAATGGTGGGGCAGTGTGTGGAGCATAGTTTACTGATGGTAGAATAGTGTAGCCCAGTCAAAGCTTCAATTTCTCAAAGAGATTTGCCATTCTGAAGCAAAGCGATGACATGGTTGACAGTTTCAGTAGCAACAGCTTTTGGTATGATGTTGGTTGAGTGTGAAGAGTTATGTATGGCTGTTTGTACATTGTTCATGTACGGTTGCCGAGGAGGATCAGGTCTAAGTCGCAAGTTGCAAGTCACAAGTTGCAAGTTGCAAGTCTCAAGTCGCGACCTGGCACCTTCTGACAGCTTCCGTTCGGCTTTCGACACATCTGAGCGTCTTCGCACCACGTGTTTGATAGCTAATAACATGAGCCGTACCTTGATCATCGATGCCGCCCTAACTGTTTGTACTGTAATGTGGCCCTCAATGTCTGGGGATACCCAAGGTCACAATTTATTGGTCTCTATGATTGTTGAACACTCCCCAGCTTAATGCCACTGCAGCTTTTACCAATCTGGCCCTGTCTCATGCCACTGCAGCTTTTACCAATCTGGCCCTGTCTCATGCCCAACACGTGTACTGTCAGCGATGCTCTTGATGCCTCATTTTGCGTTCAGTGTGCATCATCGTTCAGGTCCTCGGACTTTCGTTATGCATATTCATGGAGATGCTGACCCAATATGATCTTTCATAGTGATATATATGTACTACCCACTCCAAAATGCACCCTCGGTGATACTCCATCTCTCATGCCGACTGTGATTGTCTGCGAACTGTGCGGGCGCCGCTTTCCATTTCTCTGTAAGAATGAATGTGGATGATGTCGAGGTTGACATGATGGGTATATGATGTCTGAAGAGCAAAAGTCTCTGGTGCATCGAATCTGATTTTCAGACTCATTCAACTGTGCCACCCTGCTTTAGGCATCAACGCAATGCAAGATCTGTGGTGAATGCTTCACCAAACTCGACAGTGATATCTGTGCACGCTGTGTCAAAGCACAGAAAGCAATGCCAGGCATACAGAGTGAGGGTATCCTTGTGAGTATTTGCATACTCTAATCACTCGCACTTTACTGAAATGCAGATTCGCACTCATAGGCTGAGCTGCAGTGCATAAGTTGCGGGGGCTCTTGTAGATTCCTCGACTCTGCATTTTGTGGAGCATGCACCCATGCAGAGCCATCCAATGACCGAATTCTAGATAATGAAAAAGGTATGTATGGTGCTTTTCAGGACGCAACACGCCGTTCACTTACCACACTGACTGATCGCAATAGAGTCCGTGGACACATTGGCTTCCCTAATCAAGAACCGGTCGACACTCCATGAACAGAGTGCCTCGAAGCACCATCTCCGACAACTTCCTAAGCCAGGCACGAGCACAAGGGCCACTGACATAAAGGAACGAGTTGACAGGATGAAGCAGCAACGTAACGTGGAACACATCGCTGTAGAGCTCACTCTTCTGCTGCATGCTGCAATGCAGAATGGCAAGACACGTCTTGTATGTACAGGATCTACTCTCGGAACACATTTCTCACTCATCCGTGTTACAGAGTGAACTTCCTGCACCGATGACAAAGTGCAGCTATGTGTCAAGCATATCAGTGAACACCTTGCTCGATGAGTTGATTGTACAGGGGTGAGCGGTGTTCATGCGAATTCCGGAGCATTCTCGGAAGAAGTTACCGTTGACAGTGGTAGACTTTACCAGGCATGTCTTGTCAGCTTCGGAAATGATATTCTGCTTGTAGCTGATGGGACTGTGCTTTCTAGGATGAATGTAGTCTTCTGCATTGCAAATGGGAAAGCACGAGCGCACTCTTTTAGTCTTGACATGAAGCAGTTTGGTGATAAGAGTCTACAGCAGTTGTTTGACAAGTTGAAGCAGTCCCAGGACTTATCGACTAAGTCCGTGAACGCGAAGTGTATACCTTTGCATGCACATATCTATGTGAACCCAGAGGTAAATAATTGCATCATTCATTGGCCCCTTTGGCTGACCAGCATCTTGTGCAAAGAGAGTGGCTCATTCGGAAGATGATGAGAGCGAGGGGCCTGCGTCACCTGTATGCAAGCAATACAAGAAGTCCATTGTCTCCGCAAGTACAAAACAGAAACTTTGCTCAGGAGGTAAGACATTGCATGGATTCTATGCACTTGTAGTCAGCTGATCACAGATTATGTAGAGCCAAGCCATGCAGACCCAGCTCCCAAACGATATACAGTGACCCACAAAACTGTTGATAAGATTGCTCACTTCGACTTGTATAGTAAATATCTCCTCTACCAATGGGTCAACTACATTGTATAAGGGCTCATTGGAAAGCGTATTATCATGGCTTTCTAACGCAGTTTTGGTCATATTTTTATCGCATTTTGATCCCAAGGTATTTACTAATCTTTGAGGATCACTCTTATCAACAGTTTTGTGGCACACACACAAGTTCTCAGAAAATTGTGATTCTTGATGTGTTGACAGGGTTCTTTGTGGGAATATTATTGATGTTCATGTTTCAACATGAACAATGTACAAACAGCCATACACAACTCTTCACACTCAACCAACATCATGCCAAAAGCTGTTGCTACTGAAACTGTCAACCATGTCATCGCTTTGCTTCAGAATGGCAAATCTCTTCGAGAAATTGAAGCTTTGACTGGTCTACACTACTCGACCATCAGTAAACTACGCTCCACACACTGTCCCACCATTTCTAAGGCCAAAGGAGGACGACCTTCCCTTCTTTCTACTGCCAATCTTCACTATGCTACTCGACTCATTGGGACTGGCAAGGCTACCACATCTCCTGCTGTGGCCAGAGCTCTTGGAGATGTTACTGGGAGGGTTGTCAATGCAGAGACAGTGCGAAGAGGGTTGAAGAAGGCAGGAATGAAGGCTGTAGTAAAGCGCAGAAGGCCTTTACTCGCTGCAAGGCATTGAAAGGAGAGGATGGACTTCGCTTTGGCTCACTAATATTGGACTGTGGAGGACTGGAGAAGGGTGGTATGGTCAGATGAGACAAAGATTAACAGGATGGGATCAGATGGAAGGAAATGGGTGTGGAAGAAGCCAGGGGAGAGCCTCAGTGATAGGTTGGTGGAAGGGACCCAGAAGTTTGGAGGTGGATCCTTGATGATGTGGGGCTGTATGGGCTGGGATGGTGTGGGGTATGCCTGCAAGATTGATGGCAGGATGGATGCAGACCTTTATGTCAGCATTCTGGAGGATGAGCTGCAGAATAGCCTGGAGGATTGAGGTAAAACTGTGGAGGATGTGGTGTTTCAGCAAGACAATGACCCCAAGCACACCAGCAAGAAGGCCAAGGATTGGTTCAAAGACCATGATTTCAACACTATGATATGGCCCTCTCAATCCCCAGATCTCAATTCCATAGAGAATTTGTGGGATCACCTCAAAAAGAAGCTTGCAGAGTATCAGGAGCCACCAAAGGGAATTACTGAGTTGTGGGAAAGGGTAGAGAAGGAATGGGAGGCTATTGGGAAGGAAGTGTGTCAGAATCTGATTGAAAGTATGCCAAGGAGGGTGGATGCAATTGTGAAGGCAAAGGGAGGCTATACCAAGTACTGAAAGTATGAGTTTTGTAGAACCTGAATATGTGCCACAAAACTGTTGATAAGAGTGGCCCTCAAAGAGTATCAAATATCTTAGGTAACATCCTTCTTGTTCTTTGACCACCATGTCCGCTTTAGGCACCCAACAAGTGACTGCCAGTGACGTCGACATGGAGGCTTCCGGCGTTGAGCCCATTGCTCCACCGGGCAGCTCTAATGCTGTGACACTTCATAGAACCCCTGTGCTCAGCTGGGCCTCTCAAATGGAGGCTGGTGATGCCTTGCAGGACCGCTTCAGTGGCCTCCTGCGCCACATCAGCAACCATACCAGGGCCCTTACCGACACTATACGTGACCTCCAGGACCACCCCAACCCTGAGACTTACCTCGATGACTTTGCCCAAGTCGTCACCCTGCTCACCACCACCTGCAAAGAGCTGTACACTGAGCTCGGTGCGGACCCTGTAGTCAGTAACTCGGCTACCGGCACTGCCGCCCTCCACATCTATGACCACTTCTTCGACAATGTCAATGCTGAAAGGAAAGACATCGACGGGGACGACCTCGACGAGGCCTTCTTCCAACCACCCCGGGGCTGCCTGCAGACAGAAACCACCCTACTCGCCAACCTTGACTTCCAAGCGGTGCTCGCCAAGACCGTGGAAGATGGAGTCTGCATGGCCAACACAGCCATCAACACGCAGCTCTCGGCCATCGAGGCCCAACTCGTACGCACCCGACTGGCACAGCCCAGCCCCCAAGCATCGGCTGCCGCCAAAAACCCCCACCAATCACTGACTGGTCAGGTGCGTGGTCCCGCATCTGCAGCTAAGGCCACGTCTGCATCCGCTGACGCGCTGCCCAATGGAAAGGCAGTGGCACAGCCTACCATGGCATAGGCTGTCACCAAATCCAAGGAGAAGAGCTATGCTCTACTCATCACCCCGGAACAGCACACAGCCATTGAGGCAGGCAGAACCATGTCGCAGTGGTATGCTAAAATTGACACCCGCCTGCACGAAACGCCCGCATGGGCCAAGGTACGTCCTCTTGGTTGTCGTTTTGCTGGGTCCACCAAAGTTGTGGTCATTTTCTCACATGAATCTCCCGACTCACTCATACGCGAGTGTCTCCGCCCCATAAGGCACATCTTAGGGGTCGTCCCGCACGCTGCCTCACCTGCACCAGATCTGCGTGAACGTGCATCTGCACTGCAGGACTTCCATCCTCTCATTCCTGTTACGAAGCTATTCATCCCGAGCTGCCCGCTGCGTCATCCCGACATGGGATTGTTACTCACTGAGGAGGAAATCATGGCGGAACTACACCGCAATTCTATGTTTTCATCTGTTCACTTCAATGGTCTACCCGGTTTCATTGTGCCTGAGGAGCATCGCGAGCAGCTCGGGAAGTCCTCTATTATCATCTCCATCGAGGATGCTCATTGTGACTACTGTGCGCGTAACCTCCTTGGGTGTGACAACCGCGGTGATGCTGCCGCTTTTCTTTGGTTCTATGGCTCCCGCATCACTGTAAAGAAGTCGAAAGATCATCCCGTGTTCCGTCAGTGCACTCGTTGCTGGCGCCTCACGCATCTCGAAAGTCACTGCAAGAAGCGGGCACCTGTGTGCCGCTTCTGTGGAAAGACTGATCACACGTCCGATATGCATCGGCAGGCCTGCCTTGTCTGCAATCATGAGGCTTGCCCAGCTGACCAGCCTTGCGAGTCTGCTCACTATTTCTGTGTGATCTGTGGCACCAACGGTCACAGTGCCGCCGACACCACCTGCCCTGTGCGGAAAGATTACTGTATCCCCATCTCGCGCACCAACCTCTCATCATGAATATCACAACTGTGCATTTGAATGTGGCCCGGTCTAATCCACGCATCCACGGTTTCATTTCTTCCACTTCCTACGATATCTATTTCCTTCAAGAACCGTGGTGGGGGCAAATCGGCATCGATACCCCCCATGGCTCTGAGTCAGGCACTACTGTTTTTGGTCACGTCAATGTCCGGCCCTACGGCCTGGACGCTTTTCATTTCCCCTCCACCTCTGCGCTGCCACGACCTCGAGCCAGCATCCTGGTCCGGCGCGTGCTCTTAAACACTTATCACATATCCATGCGTACCGACCTGGTGTCGGACCCGGATGTGGTCGTTCTTTATTTCATTTCCCGATCTGATCCCACCCATGATTTCTTCATGGTCAACTGCTATAACGAAGGCTCGCGAGCCCAACACCGCGTCCTGCCCACTCTCTATGATATCCCTTTTCCGCCACGAGCGAACCTCCTTGTCACTGGGGATTTTAATCTCCACCACCCCCTATGGTCATGGACCAGATGGGCCTCCCGCTCTGCTTCCACTGCCTCCAATGCTTTCGCTAGTTGGCTTGAGCACGAGTCGCTCAAAATTCTTAACCTCGATCAACCCACCCACATGGTGAATGGTGACCTGCTCTCGGGCACCATCATCGATCTGGTCTGCGTGACCTCCAGTGTGCAATTTCACATTCACGGCGTCGCTGCCACCCCCACATCTTTTGAATCGGACCACGCATTACTGACCTCTGTTCTCTCCCACATCGCCCACCCAGTCAACATTGACCTCAGTTTTCGAATCGATGTCTCGAAGCGGGAAGACTGGAACACGTGCTTTGCCTGTGAACTGGCGCTGTCCCCACCACCGATCACTTACGCCATCACTGACGACCTCGAAGCGGGCGCTCAGGCTCTGCTGTGAGCAATGACCGTGGCCTGCCACGAAGCATTTCCCCAATGCACACATGCTCACCAGGCCTCCCAGCTCTGGTGGAACCATGCATGTGATACGGCCCGCGCCAGTGTCCAGGTGGCTCATACTCATGAGGAGCGGTGCAACACCAAAGCCGCACTCTCGGCCATTATCCGACAAGCTTAGAAGGACTGAACTCGGGAGGCAGTCGCGCGACTCCAGAATATCAATCCCTGGTGACTCGCCTCCTGGACCAAAGAAGTGCGGGCGCCCCCACTACCAGTCATCCGCACAGATGGGGAGACTGGTTCTCTCCCAGCCGATGCAGGTCATCTACTCACGTGTTTCTATTTTCTGGCATCTCCGCCTTTACCTGATTTACCTCCTCTCTTTACCTCTACGCCTCCGGCAGCATGCCCAGACCGCCCCCTCCTTATCACTGAAGTAACTGCCGCCATCGAGGCTGCATCTAACTATTCAGCACCTGGCATCTCCAGAGTGTCGTGGCGGCTCCTAAAATGGGTCTGGCGGTCTGGTGCACATCATGCTCTTTTTCTTTTTCTTTCCTCTTCTTTGCGCCTGGGTTACCTCCCCGCCCCACTTCGGGCTGCAGCGGTTGTGTACTTCGCACCCAAGTCCCACTGACCAATTGCGCTCTTGGAAACCTTGAGCAAGGTCCTAGAAAAAGTGGTTGCTGCTCGTTTCAACTTTCAGATCGGTGCTCACAATCTTGTGCCCGGCTCACAGTTTGGTGGGTGGGGCCAACATTCCGTCATAGATGCGGGAGTCACTCTGATGCACCGTGTACGCACCGCCTGGGAAAACGGTTTCTCTGCTACCTTACTGTGCATGAACGTCGAGGGCTATTACAATAACATTCGCCATGACGTCCTTCACTCTGCTCTCCTTTCTTTGGGTTTTCCCACAAATGAGGTCCTGTGGACCTTGTCCTTCCTTTCTTCATGCACTGTGCAGCCCAAACTCAATTCAGAGCTGGGTCCATCATACCACGTCGCTGCGCTCGGCATCCCACAGAGATCGCCTCTGTCACCAGTCCTCTCTACTATATACTCTTCCCCGCTGTATGTGAACCTTGATCCATTCGCGCATCCCCAGCAGTCTACGGTGGGCTACGTAGACGATTTTGCCCTCCTTATTGTTTCTCCCTCACTGAACGAAAACACGGCCATCATCCAACGCACTCTACCGAGTGTGGGCACCATGCTTCACCAGCTTGGGCTGACCATTGGCATAGCGAAAACTGAGCTTATGCACTTTACCTCCCCGAGACGCTCCCTTGACGTCAACCCTCCCCTGCAGGTTCAGTGGAATGGGCGGGATATCACCATTCAACCTGCTTCATATCTGCGATGGCTCGGCATCTGGTACGACTGATGCCTAACCTTCACCCACCACATTCGGGTCATGGCAGCCAGGGCTTCGTCCCATGTTGCCGCTTTCTGCATGCTCGCCAACACACAGTGAGGCATGACGGTCGTGCAAGCCCGCTTGCTATACCTTACCATCATCCTTCCTGTACTCACCTTTGGTAGCCCCGTGTGGTATAACCCGCGGGGCCCACGCTCACTCTTTCAACCTTTGCAACAGGTACAAAACGACACACTGCAGTGGTTCATGGGAGCATGGCAGTCTACCCCCCACCACGTCCTCAACCTCATATCCAGCATCCTGCCAATGAGACACCAGCTCGACAAGCTCAACGGCCTTGCCGCAGCTCACCTCCTCACCCTCTCAGAGTCCCACCCGGTGACCCACTGCCTGGCGGCCTACTGCACTACCCACCCGCCCAACTTCTCCCTCCTCAACCCCGCCATCCCTATCCACCATGGCACCAGTGCAGTGGATGTGCTCGAACAAACCCTGCCTAAGCGAGCGGCACACCTTCTCCCCTGGTTGCAGCCACCCTGGGATCCTGCGCATCCATGGGGTGAGAGGGTTCACGTCTGCGTCCCTCTGCCTACCAAAGATGGCTCCAAGGAGTACTTACATTTCTTTTTCTTCCCTCTTTTGCACTCTTCCATCCCTCTCCCTGATGCCCTATGGGTCTTCACAGATGGCTCCCAAATCGCCCAGCCCGACCCCGCCCTGCGGAACCGATGAGCAGGTGCAGGTGCATGTATCATTCACCAGGGTGCGATAAAGTACGAGCGGGCTTGGAGCATGGGCCACCAGGCTGAGGTGTATGACACAGAACTCTTCGCAATGGCAGCAGTCACCAGCCGCTTTGCCAGTTTTCTGGCGACCTACCCCATGATTACTCACATTTACCTCTGCGCGGACAACCGCGCTGCCCTGTCCAATGTCCTGTCGCTGAGCCCACACAGTGGCCAGCCCTTTTCTCTTCGCTTTCGGGCACTTCTCACTCCTCTCATGGAGCAATACCCACTTCTAAACATTTCTTTACTATGGGTTCCCGGGCATACGGGTGTACTGGGTAACGAGATGGCGGACCGGCTAGCCAAGGAAGGCACGTCCCTACCCGATAGTGTCCTACCCACCTTGACGTGGATCCGGCGCTGGGCGCACGAGCGAGCGACCACCTCCTGGCAAACCGAGTTCTGTTACACCGATCGACCCACTGCAATATGGTCCTCGTGGCCGTCCCTGCCTTCCCAGACGCTACACCCTGTTTTCACTTCTAAATATTATGAACGTGACGTCAAAGCCAGGTTAACCCAAGCCTTAACGAGCTACAGCTACCTGGCCCCTTACTTTTCTTCTCAATTTGGGATGGTGGGCCCCGCTCGTCACTTCCATGGCACACCCTGTGTATGCGATCTAACCACCCCCAGCACCCGCACCCACGTCATGCTGCGCTGCCCGAGACACACGCACGCAAGGCACCTGCTCTTCCGGAACCCCAAGCCCACCCTCCTGGATTTACGTCGGCTTTGGCACCACCCCACCGGCCTCCACCGCCTCATCACTTTCATTTCTGCTACACCCGTTTTCTCCGCCGCGGCCCTCACGCCCCCGGACCCTGGCTGATATGCCTTACCCTCACAGCACTTACGTGACCGACCCCCTTGTTTACTCATAGTCTACACGTCGACACTTCCTCGTGCGGTTTCACTCCTGTATTTACACCCTTCCAACCGCGTATAGCGCAGTATAGAAATAAATGTACAAACAAAAAAAAAAAAAAAAATCTTAGGATCAAAATATGCTAAAAATGTAAACAAAGCTGCATTGGAAAGCCATGATAATAAGCTTTCAAATGAGTTCTTATAACATTTAGTTGGCCCAGTAGTTGAGGAGATATTTACCATACAAGTTGAAGTAAGCAATCTTATCAACAGTTTTGTGGGTCACTGTACCAGCATGTTCCGTGTGCCCACAGCCGCTGTCGATGTGAACTACAAGTCATATTCTATAAGAGTCCTGAGCTGCACTGTTGATGAACATGGGCACCCCGCCATTGTAGAAGAAGCATTCGATGAAGTGATTCTCATTGCGAAGGGCTGGCAAAAGTTCAAGGATCGCAAAGTGCCTACTGATCCTTGGGTGGGTCGGGGTGGCTCTAAAGTTGTCTGTCAAGTATGTAGTTATGCATGTTCTCCTTATATCTAGCTCACTTAGCATCAGCAGGGGATGTTCAAGCATAAGGAATATGCAATATGTCAGGTCGGCCCACTTGGAGCATTCAATCTCAACACAGAGCCTGCGAACAAGAAAGATCTGCTTGATGAGCTGAAAACCACCGCTATTGGCCAATTTTTCATCAAAGACTTCATGAACCGTGCAGATGCTGAAGGATATGCAGATTTACCAGGTATGAGATTTAGCCATTTTAAAACTATGTAACGGACGCAGCTCATTGTTGAGTTCATCACAGAGATGCGCTTTAATTTCGATGGCGCTTTTGTTGGTGAAGTGACTAGTCATGACTTTGTTGGGGGTCCATATGAATACAATGATGACAACGATGACCCTCTGCTTCTTCACTCGTTTCTGGCGACCCCGCTGATCTCGCTAACTGATGGATACAAGGAGATAAAGTTTTCTGGTTCACTCAGCGTTGGACACAATCCAGAGACATTTCTTGGAAACGTTGTAAACACATTTGCACATCATGTATATGATGTGTCAGATAAGACCTGCATTCTTGTTGATTTGCAAGGTATGTTGACGTTCTTAGCTGCGCACTTTAGCTCAATTGCTTACGCATATAGAACTAGGATTTGTCAGTAATGATGAGAAGACAATTGTGCTTTTTGACCCTCAAGCTCATACCAAGTACGTGAGCTGCATGATATGGAATGGCTGAGCTGATGCGCTTTGCTACAGTAACTGGGCGTCAGGCAAGACTGGATATTGGGATCTTGGTGAAAAGCAGATTGCGGTGTTTGCCAAGGAACACACCTGCAAGAACATCTGCCATGCGTTGAAGCTGCCTAAGCTTCTCAGAGGCTCAGGCAGCCAGGTTCCAGCTGGTAGAGCAGCAAATGCAGTACGACGTAAGCAAAAAGCACCTTTCAGAATTCAAGATTTTGACTCAGACTGTGAGATTGAGGAGCTGAGCGGCAATTGTTCGCCACGTATCAAAATATCAGATTTGTGCGATTAGTCTATATCAAGTAGCTAGTGATCATAATGTCAAAACTATTGGTAGCATCAGCAAGAAAATGTCCCAGACATTCTGTGGCGTCAGCGAAAGCCCTTCAATCGAATTATAAGCTCTTTGTGCCCTTTCGGCATAGGCACTGTCAACAAACTCAAGAAGTTTGGGCCCACCAAGCTCCACCATCAGCTGTGTGATGATATTGGCATCCACAGGTTCGAGACAGTTGACACCACCGTATTTTTCATGCAGAGTAAAGGTGACATTTGGTGACACACCGGATGGGATTAGCTTGTTGCGATCGAACCTAACCTTGTGATCATTAGTGTCATGAACGAACTTATCGAGCTCTTGCTGAATGAGCTTCAGCCACAACCACAGCACAAGATCCCTACAGAACAACTAGTCAGTGGCATCCCGTAGAGTACAGCATTTCACCCACCTGTGATTAGGATCAATAGGATTATAAATGTCTTTGCCAGCTTCCCAGAATACCAATAAGTTATCCCCACACTCAAGACGCATACGTAGCCATCCACGCTCAATAGTGATGTTCTCTACGCTACAGAGGAAGCGGTGAGCGGGCAACTCATCAATGGGTAGGTCTGATGAGAACGCCTCGCTGTATTGGTAGGTCCGGATCAATGCATGATAAGTAAATGTGATGCAGAATGAGCATACCGTAATGCATTTGCATAACCATACATAGCTGTTGTTTCAGAGCCACAGTCGGTTGTGGTCTAGATAGGCATACCTGTGCGAGTCGGTGATCAGGAGTGAGATTTCATTCAAGATAGATGATCTTACCGCTGAGCGACTTGACTAGAGACAGGTACAGATAGGCTATGACTATCTTCAACTAATTATTCAGAACCACCCATAATTCTAACCATTTCCCGGACCATACATCGTGAATACCCCAAATGGGAAAACCAATTTTGACAAGCTTATCGTGCCCATCACCACTCCACTCATGATGTGGTCCAAGAGTGTTATGAAGCGTTCCCTGCTAGAACGTTCAGAACCACGTGTGCTTTTTCACACGTACTAGTCCACAACATGGACAGAGACTTAGGTACCAAATATACCTAACGTCCCCAATAGTCAGGCAGACTATTAGCAGGGTTTATAGTGTGGTCAAGCCTAGTAGACGAT